TAAGCAGGCTCCACGCCCAGCGAAGAGCCCAACTCGGGGCTCAGTGTCACCACCCAGAGATCACGACCTGAGCTGAAATCAAGAGTCGGACACCTAACCAACTGAACCACCCCGGCGGCCCGACACTTGGCCTGTTTCTGACACACTCGTACTTACAATGCATGGTCCTGGAGGACTGTTTACTAGGGCCCTACCACCTTGTCGGTCTTGAACTCCAATTATTGTCTCCCCAGCACTGCTGAATGAAGCTGACTGTTCTGTTCGACTTCTCTGCCCTATGGTCCTTATAGCAAATGTACTCACAGCCTCGTATCCTCCTGCATCTTGGCAGCCCTGAACTCCAGCCCCAGGGAAGCTGCTGAAAGCCTTGCTCAGCTTCTCAGTCTGACAGCTGCAGTCTTCTGTGTGGCTTCTCAGCCGCTCCGTCCGCACTAATCGCTAATTGACAAATGCCTTGAGAAGAAACGTGGCAAAGAAAGCCAGGCTTTAAGGGGTGTCCCTTCTCCCTGTGATTTTGGCCTTTGGTCTCTCTCCCAAGCCATCAGAAGGATGTCTTGCTACTTGATCTGATCTGATGATTCGGATTGTTCTCCGTGGGAACTTTGGTCAGCTGCAGTCTCGTGTGCCACAGAATACAAGTGCATCGTCATTTTTCCCGTGTTCCTTGGGTAACAGCCACCTGTACCGACAGTCCCTGACTCAGGTCAACATTTTCAGTGAATAGAGGGAAGCCTGAGGTGCAAGGAGGGACAGACACTTACCCAGCTATCTGATTTGTTAATACCAGAGCTGGGGCCCAAACCTGGGTCCCCCAAAGGCCAGGCCAGCGTGCCTTCCATGCAACCAGTCTTCCAAGAGGCGCCCCTTCTGTTTCTACTTCTTTCTGTCCTTGTAAGCTGGCCTGCTGCTTTGGACCATGAGAAGGACTGTGAGCCCCTCCTGCCCACGTGCTACCCCACCCATGGTTGGGCCGTGTTGGGTGCTGACAGACCTGGTGCTTCTGCGCGCACACACACACACACACACACACACACACACACACACACCCTCCGGGTTCCCAGTTCGGACCAGGAGCAGACCACCTACTTGTCCCAGACATGCAGTCAGTTGTGGCTCTACCCTAATGGGCCGGGATGACCTAATTATAGTCTCTGGCTTCCTGAGTAATTATGGGCCTCCCCAGAACTCCAGGGTGCTCCGTGCCTCTCCCCCAACTCTGCACCTCCACCTCTGCCGCTCAGTTTCCTCCTTTGCCTTAAATGTCCCCCCGCTGCCCAGAGCAGGATCCAGCCCTCCCCTCCTTCGCCCTTAGCCCTACTGATACCAGGATCTGATTATGGGCTGCATCAAGGGCACCCTGTCCTGCAGAGTGCCTCGGTCAGCCTCTGTCCACATTCCTGGCTCCTAAGCTAACCACGAAACTACGGTTGTTTACTTCCTCCCAGGCTAGACCCATGTCCCGCCAGCCCTCCCCTCTGACTGCATGATTCACGGCCGGCCCAGCAGGGACCAGTTGAGGCTCGGCTCACCTTCAAGTTCCCCTTCCCTGCTCCATGTGGACCGTCTCTCTCCTCTGGGCAGCACCAGGCAGGAGGCCCTGGCAGGGGGAGGCAGGGAGGGGCTGGGGAAAGGGCCAGGAGCCCCAGCCACAGCATGATGAGGACCAGAGGCGGCAGGGTCGGGGGAAGGAGCATGGGTTTCAGAGCTGCAGGCCTGGCTTTGAGTCCTGTCTCTACCCCTTCCTGTTGATGACGTTGGGCAAGCTGCCAGCCCCCGCACCCCCGCTCCTCATCTGTAGAACGGGACAGCATGCTCTGTGTGCAGCGCCAACACAGGAGAGACTCGGTAGACACATGTTGGCTGCTCTCATTGCCCTTCCCTTCTCCAAGAGAAGGCAGGTCACAGAGAAGTTAGAGAGTGAGCGGGGGGCTGGGTGTCGCAGGCACACCGACACGGGGCAGGCTCCATCTACTGGTCCCGGACGTGGGCAGCGAGGGAGGCCTGGTAAGTAGCCCCAGACGTGGCCACCCCACCTGATGTCTTCAAGGGGACTGTCTAGGACGCCCTTCTGTGTCCTCAGAGATGGGGTCAGTGGGGGCAGCCACGACTGGGGGTGTGGAGAAGGGAGGTGGCTCTTTTCCCTGAAGTCCTCCTTCCCCCCCAGGCTGGGGGCTGCCACCTCCTGGGGCAACGAGGTGGGCACACACCTTCTCCCCGGGCACGTGGGCGCCCAGCCTTCCCCATCCAGGGAAGCCGCCAGGAGCTCCCCCAGGAAGAGGAGGCTTCGAGGGCTGGGAGGACGGGCAGAAGAGGGGGCCTTTACCCTCTGCCTTTTCTCCCTCACTACCGGCGTAGAGACCCTGAGAAGTCCTGGCAGCCAGCTGCTGTGCCCCTTGAGCAAGAGAGGAGCGGGCACGTGATGAAGACAGTGGCAAGGGGAGGATGGGGTCCCGGGGAGAGAGTGAGGGGGCTCCTGCCGGACCGGGAGGCTGCTCAGACAGGGCGTCCTCGTTGAGAGGAGACTTCTCGTGCTTTTCCTGAGATTCTGCTGGAAATGGGGAGTGTGGACCACTCCATCCAGGAAACAAGGATGGAAGGCACAGCCGTGGTTGTAAGGAGAGAGGGTGAAGAACCAGGGAGCTGTGTTCCTGGAGCAGGCAGAGGCTGAGCCCAGGGAAGCAGGCCAGGGAGCAGGGACAGAGGCAGGAGGAGGGGTGGTGGCGCAGCTCAGGGGCCCTTCGGAACTGTCAAGTGCGACTCTCAATTTTATAGACGAGAGCCGAGCTCCAGCGTGGGCGGGAAGGCACCCAGCGTCGCTCCAGGGCCCTCTGAGTCCCATCTGCCCACCCAGCCTCCAGGGGCCTCTCCACCTCTGATGGCTCTGCTGGCTCAGGTGCCGAGGCCAGAGCTGGGGTGAAGACCGACCGGTGCCATGACTTTGCCAGCTCCTAGCATGTCCTGCCAGGCTGCGGCGGGGCCGGGGGGGGGGGGTCCCCGCGTGGGCCCCTCCCTGTCCCAGGTTGTTTGGGCTGCCTCGCTGCAGGCTGCAGGGCGGGGTGAGGGGCTGGGGGAGGCCCTCTGCAGACTGAAAAGCAGGTCCTGCCTCCTGGCTTCTCCCAGGCCAGGTCCCCTCCAGAGCCCTCCAGCCCCACCCCTGCCCCCGCCAGCCAGGTGACGGAATCCCCTCCTGTGCAGTTGGCCGGCCACGTGAGCCGAGCCCACACAGGGCCACATCCCCCTGTGTGGGGGGAAGTGGGCATGGGCAGGCGGGGGCAGGGAATGGCTGGAAGGTTTTTATTGGCCCTCGTGGGGCTGACTCTGTCTGGGCTCCAGTTTCCAGTTTAGATCCCAATTTAGATCTTAAAGAGGATGGTGTCACTGACACTCTGTTCCACAGAAACACTCTGGGAAGCAGACACGCAGGGAGCAGCAGGGGTGGGGAGCATGGGGGGTGGGGTGGGTAGTGAGGGTGGGCAGTGGGTAGCATCAGCCAGGATTCACAGCAGTTGCTTTTTCATTAGCTGGGGAGGAGGCCCTGGCATTGAAGACCTGGGTCATGGCCATTGGCAGGGCTCCCAGCTCCCAGCTGCAGGATCCCTCCTCCCCAAGAGGCCCACCTGGGTTCTAGTTTCTGCTCAGGGGCCCCTGAGGAAACTGCTTCACCTCTCTGGGCTTTCGCTGCCTCCTCTGTGAAATGCAGGAAATGGACTGGCTCCCACCTTGCTCGAAAATGCTGGAAGTCTTTTGCAAGAGGAATGATGTAGCAGCAGAATTCTCAGGGAGAGCTGAGTCTGGGCATGAGAATTCATTCCCCAGGCCAGCCCTGGGGCCCACTGTTCCCACCAACCCTACCCAGCATCCTTTGCAGAGACCACTGAAGAAAGCCAGGTCTTTGCTGGGCCTTTGCTGCATGATCCTCATGAAGCCAGAGGGTCCTCTTTCCTCCACGCTCTGGGCATTGAGAGATGCCTTGGACAGAGTGATGGCCACACTCTGCTTTGTGTCCTCAGGGTTGGTACAACTCTGGGAGGTGGTGACTCTCAGATCCACATAGTCAGAAGGATATTACGGTCAACTGACCCCTGGCTTGGGAGCTAACCTGGGCTCTTTAAGGACAGACCACATCTTTATCTGGGCATCCCCCCCAGGCGCTAGGCCAGAGCCGGGTGGGAGCAGGGGGCCACAGCTGTGGGGGAGTTCTCTGCCACATGCCAGGTGCCATGCCCAGGGTGGGGGATGTGAGCCGTGACACCCTCACTCTTTTCCTGGGGTTCCGTAGTCTAGCAGGGTCTACCAGATAGGCACCAAGGGTTTGCTTTCGCTATACTGTGACTTTTTCTATGCGTCACCTGCACGATTCAGCAAGTAGTAGCCTCAGGAGCTCTGAGAATAGGCTGGGGTAGTCAGGGTGGGCCTCCTGGAAGAGCTGTCCTTTCTCTGGGCTGTTGTGCCCATGCACTCATCCTGGGAAGGGTCTGTCTCTCGTGCCTCACTTTTTTGGTTTTCTGCCCCATGTCACCTGACTCCATCTCTGTCTAGTCCCCTAACAGTCATGCGCAGAGCCCAAGGTGTGAGGTCCGTGGGGCAGGGGGGTTATCAAAGACCACGAGAAGGTATAGAAGGCCAGGCCGGCCTCCAGACCTGGACAGTCTTGGCCATCTCCCAGAGCTGCCCAGCTCTCTCAGTTCCCAAACTGAGCCCTGAAGTCGGAACAATGAATTCTCACTGTGCACCAGGCCTCAAGCACGTTTACACGCCTTGTCTCCGAATCCCCGCTAGCCTGCAGGTGAGGCTTCTCGCCCCCACTGCACAGGTGGTCTGGCTGACCTAGAGAAGTCACGGGATCAGCCCGCGCTCTGTCAGTTGGCAGACCTGGCCCTGGTGTCTGGCTAACCCTCGGGCTCGTCCCTGTGGCCTGGGCACCACACCTGCTTCATGGGAAAGCCTCAGGGGACCTGCCCCTCGTGCACTGACTTCTCCCCCCTTTTCTCTGGCCCTAGGTGCTCCCGGCCCTCCAGGACCAAGAGGACCCAAAGGAGACATGGGCACGAAGGGGCCCATTGGCAGCAGAGGACCAAAAGGAGACCCTGGTAGCTTCGGCCCCCCGGGACCCCAGGGGCCTCAGGGGCAGCCTGGAGACCCAGGACCTGTGGGAGAAAGGGGGCCGGTTGGCCTTCGAGGTTTCCCAGGCCTCAAAGGCTCAAAGGGAAGCTTTGGAAGTGGAGGCCCAAGAGGACAGCCAGGCCCCAAGGGGGACGTGGGGCCCCCAGGGCCAGAGGGGCCCCCAGGGTCTCTGGGACCCTCAGGGCCTCAGGGAAAACCAGGGATTGCTGGGAAGACAGGGTCCCCGGGCCAGCGGGGGCCCATGGGGCTTAAGGGTGAGCCAGGGATCCAGGGGCCCCCTGGACCCCCAGGGCCCCCAGGCCCACCAGGAAGCCAGAGCCGCTACTAAGGGCCCCAGGCCCAGACACTGCTACACAGGATGGCGGGAAGGGCCTCAGGGCAGAGCGAGCCCCCCAGAAAGCCACACCTACAGACAGCTGTGGTCCTTTGATCCCAAAGGGGCCTCCCCCCGGCCTGTCCCTGCACCTCCGGGCTCTACAGTACTGACCGTACCATAGACAGCAGCCCCTCACACACACGCGCGCGCACGCGCACACGGACACGCACACGCACACGCGTTTCTCTGCTGGCCAGGGCGGGGCGGGGGGGGGCAACCGGGCTTCCCTGGCTGGGCAGGAGGAGAGGGCAGGGGGAGATGCCGCCTCTCCTGTGATGGAGCCTGCCAAGGAGGTGGCTACCTTGAGGGGAAGGTCTTGAATCCATTTCTGAATTCTTGACCAACTCAGCTTTCCAGCATCTTCAGAACCAACCTGGCCAGCAGTTCCCTGTGGCTCCCAGCGCTTGAAAAGACCCAGGAAAACCTTTGCAGGGGATGTGGTTCAAACTCTAGGGACAAGGGGGATTTGGCGACCAAAAACAGTCTCCTCCTAACTGAGGGAACGGAGTCCCGGGAGCTGACCCTGCCTCACCTGGGCCAGAGGGACCCCACCTGTGCCGCCGTCCCCAGGCTCTGCGCACCGTGCTCCCATGAGTTCAGCAATTTTTTCATGTCTCAAGAAAATTCCTCACGTCATCCTTGCCTCCTTCTCCCAGGAGCATCCCAGAAGAAATCCAAGGAGGAGTCTCATCTGCATGGGAAGGCTATCTAGGCCCTGGAACATTCTCCCAGAGTGGTGCCCGGCAGCTGGGACACTGGAGGAAGGTGGGGTGGGGGGGCAGAAGCTCGTGTGAAGAGGCCAGGGTCAGCGGGCCGTCTGTGGAGTTGGCTCCCTTGCTCTGCACCAGGCCAGCCTGCCCCACTCCTGGGACGGGCCCCTCTGTGGCGGCTGATGGAGGCCAAGCCGGGTAACAACAGCTCTCCCCTCCTGCACCCAGCTCTCCTGCCCACAGGTGCCCGCTGACCTCACCCTACCATGACTCAGAATGGCCCGAGGCCTCTCTGCATGGGCAGCAAGACTGGATGTGAAGACAGAAGGGCCTGAACGTGTACAAGAGGCTCACTTTGACATCACCCCTCACCACCTCCAGCTTCCTGCGCACACGGGCACAAAGGAGCGCTGGGAAGCTCCCCTGGCAAGGTGAAGGCAGCCCACAGGCTAAACTGGTTGTAGAGCTGCCCTCCTTTGTGTACAACAGATTCCGACCACTCCTGGGCCAGGGCATGGAGCTGTCTCCTCCCCGGCCCGACTCAGACACCAGCCCCTTTCCGCCTTCCGAAAGCCTTCACGCCACCTCCCTTCTCGTAATAGGTGTGCAACTGGTTTGCACTCCCGCCCGCCCCCACTGCCGTGTAATCCTGTCTACATATGATATCATGTGACGTAGTATTACTGACTCAGTAAAGAGCTCTTTCCAGGAGGGAGGTGTCTTCTGGTCCTTTCGGCCCAACCGGGGTCATAATGCCTCACCTGCCCTTGAAGGGAAACCAGTGGACAAGGGGTCTCCTAGATACTCACTGTGGAGTTTGGGTCTCACCCCCTTACCCTCCATCTAGAAACACTGAGCTCTGCCAGGAATTCACGGTGGTCCTGTTGGGGCCAGGCACCAAGAGCATGTGGGGGAATTACCCACAACGAGCAGGAGCCCAGTGAGAAACAAGGTGAGCTTTTTTATTCTTGCAGCAGGCTAAAATGGGTCCTGGACATCTGAGTGATACCTTCCCGAGGCTTCCCTCTGCTGCTTCTAAGACTGGCAGATAAAAGAGAAAAGGAGGAAGAGACCAGGCTAGACCTTCCCCCGAAGGCCTGGCTCTCCAGGATCCACAGCTGGGTCCCCTGTGAATCAGCCAGGCTGATGGACCAGGCTAATGTCGTAGTCCATTTGGGCCGCTATCACAGAACACCACAGCCTGCTGACTTATAAACAGCAGACATTTCTTTCTCGAGGTTCTGGACGCCAAGAGTCCACGCTCAAGGTGCTGGCAGATTTTAAGGTCTGGTGAGGCCCTGCTTCCTGGCTCACAGCTGGCCATATTCTCACCCTGCCGTCACATGGCAGGAAGGGGGAGGAAGCTCTCTGGGGTCCCTTTTATAAAGGCACTAATCCCATTCGTGAGGGCTCCACCCTCAAGACCTAAACACCTTCCAAAATTTCCACGTCCTAATACCATCCCACTGGGGGTTAGGGTTTCAACATATAAATTTGGGGGAGACACAAATATTCAGTATGGTAACATAGTGTATTCATTTGCTGGTAAAACATGGCCTAGGCGAAGTCCTAGGCCCTGTTTTGCTTTTGTATTTTGTACTTTTGTATTTTTGTATTTTCACCAGAGAAACAAAACCAATAGACGATACAGTAGTCCCCCGTTATCTGTGAAGGATATGTTCCAAGACCCCCAGTGGCTGCCTGAAACCACAGATAGTACTAGACCCTATATATATATTATACTTTTTTCCCCAAATATACATACCTATGATAAAGTTTAATTTATAAATTAGGCACAGTCAAGAGGTTAACAACAACAATAATAAATAGAACAATTATAACAATACACTGTAATAAAAGTTCTGTGAATGTGGTCTCTTTTTCTCTCTCTCAAAATAGCTTATTGTACTGTACTCACCCTTCTTGTAGGGATGTGAGATGATAAAATGCCCACGTGATAGGATGAAGTGAGGTGACAGACGTAGGCATTAGGACCTACGTGTTGGGCTACTGTTGACCTTCTGCCCGTGGGTCAGAGGAAGATCATCAGCTTCCGGACTGTGGTTGACAGCGGTAACTATAAACTTGGAAAGCAAAATTGCGGATAAGGGCAGACTACTGTGTACATATGTGTGTGTGTATATATTGGGGTCGGGAGGGGGGGACAGAGGGAGATACAGAGACTGAGAAGTCCCATGATCTTCTGTCTGCAGGCTGTAGATCCAGGAGCTTCAATGGTGTAGTTCTAGTCTGAGTCCAAAGACCAGGGAACCAGGAGAGTCCGTAGTGTAAATTCCAGTCCAAGGCAGGAGAAGACCCATGTCCTAGCTCACACAGCCAGGCAGAGATAGAATTCTCCCTTTCTTCACCTTTTTGTTCTACTCTCTCACCCTCTGCAGATAGCATGATTGATACCTACCCGCTTTAGCGAAGCTGATCTTCCTTACTCAATCTACCCATTCAATTGCGAATCTCTTCTGGAAACACCCTCACAGACACACCTAGAAATAATGTTTAGCACAGAGGCCTTGTGCTGTGGGGGTCACCTCTAGGAGGGGAGGGTGGCACAGAGTGAATGATAGGTCTCCACCTCAAGCCGCACATGAGGCAGGCCAAGGGTGGGAGAAGAAGGGGGCCCTGGGGATGAGAGTGACGGGTGAGGCTGCGTAGGGCCGGGGAAGGCGTCACCCAGGTTGTGGCAGAGTTTGTGGGCCTTGAAGGAGGCAGTGGGGACCATCCAGTGGTGTCATTTTACAGCCTGGGTCCCCAAGAACACCTCCAGGAAATTCCGGACAATCACTGTCCAGGGTGGGGTTGATGGCATGGCTGGCGGGGGCCATGCTCCCCAGCATGAGCCAGGGGTCCCGGGAGCTGGGGGAGCCCCAGCCCGAGGGCAAGCCAATGTCCTGGAGTCAAAGTCTGGAAAAGTTAGATCTGCGATCCATTCCAAGGGATGAGCTGGGATCCAGAATGAGAGACAAGGCTCCAAGGATCAAAAACCGAGCGATTCGAGAGCATGGACGCAAACAGGTAAGAAAAACTCATGTGTCCTGGACAACTGTCCCCAGCCTCCCTGGCCGTGTGGTTTGGAGGGGGGTCCACAGGGAGGGGGTCATGTGGTAAAATTAGAGACACGAGAGCAAGACTGACTCTGAGCAAAGCTGGCCATGAACTCTGTGGTTGGCGATAAAGGAATAAGAGAATCATAATGACATTAATAGTAACAGACACCAGTGGAGGATTTACTATGCAACAGAAGACCATTCTAAAGACTTTACACATCTAATCCTCACTCCAATTTATAGTGTAGCTATTATGTCTATATGTACTATTATTATTCCCACTTTACACATGGGAAACCTGAGGTTTGGAGAGATTAACTTCCCAAAGTCACACAGATAATGAGTTTTTAGATGTACCTCTATTAAAACTCAGCCTTAGGCGAGTTACCCTCTCTGAGCTTCTGTTCCCTTCCTGTAAAATGGCTGTTATAATTGTACCTACCTCTTGAGGTCATTGAGGGGATTAAGTAAGAGGATACTGTAAAACGACAACAACAACAACAACAACAAAATTCAGCTGACTAAATCGGAAGATCTAATTGGCTTCATTAAATGATTCATGAATCAGGCAGCACCGCGTCTGGCAAATAGAGGGGCACTCGGAGGAATTGTACAAAATGGAGAGTTTTTATGGGGGGGCAAAAAATTATAAGCAAAAGAAAAGAAAGGATTATTGCAGGCACAATCACCTTCCCACGGTGGGAGTAGCAGGGGGTTTTATGATGCGGATTACCTCATCTTCCTTTGGGGAAGGGAAAGGACCCATGTCCACAGATGATCTCATTGGCGCTTATCAGAAAATTCCTGATTGACAGGTTGAGACCTACGTTGGCGGGGGAGATTGAAACTGCAGTTAGGTTAGGTATGAAGCCCAGGTTTGATGACCTGGCCTGGCCCAAGTACCGCCATTTGGGGCCCGTGATTTTCTTTTTAACAATGCACTTGGCCAATTGCCTGGTACATTAGTCAGCTCAGGCTGCCATAACAAAGTACCACAGGCTGGGTGGCTCAACGAATACAAATGAATTTTCTCAGGGTTCTGGAGGCCAGGAAGTCCAAGGGCAAGATGCCAGATCTTCCTGGCTTGCTGTGTCATCTGGTTCCAGGGTCGGGGGTGGGGAGAGAAGTGTCTGGGAGGAGAGAAAAGGAGTGAGAGAGAGCACACTTTTCCTTTTCTTATAAGGCCACGGTCCTAACAGATTAGGACCCCGCT